TAATATGGTAACAAACATCGATAGTGAAATATCGGTAGTTACTGAAATGATAATATTGTTTTCATAACATTATTTCCTTATCAGTTATCATTGTCACACGATTTGTTGTTTTGGACAGTCGCCATTTGCGGGTTTTCGATTTTTGACACGATTTTCGAGAGTTAATAAAAAACTTAAAAACGAACCTCAACGGCAATATGGATTTCGAAGAATCATTCATCAACGCTCAGGATTTCGACAGCCTCGTTGTGGTAAGATACGCGTGTTTTATCTCTCGACTTGGGCCGTTGGATGGTCGTCGTTGTCGACATAATAATATTATAATTTATAATATTGAACAAGATGGCGGTTCAATTATATTACAGGAACAAGCACAGGAGATGAAAGAAAGCACTACGACGACTCCGCCTCCAGTGGCCAACAAACGGGGACGCAAGCCAGGAAAAAAGTCCAGTGACAAAGTGGACATCAGAGCCAAACTAGGTTAGGTTCTAACCTAAATGCAAGTAATGTTAGTCTTCGTTATATACTGTTTTTTTTCTTTTTCATACAACGTTAGAGAGGAGCCGGCAAAGCGCCCGGGAGTGTCGGGCAAGAAAAAAGTTACGCTACCAATATTTGGAGGAGTTGGTGATAGACCGCGAGAAGGCTGTTGTATTGCTGCGGCAGGAACTGGATAAAGTATATCATTATTATTATTATTACTGTTTTACATACATCATAAGTTATACTGTTATTATTGAATGCACATGATAACATTGGTGTGAGTGTTTTGTAAAATAATTATTCATTAATTGTCACAGTACAGAATGTGGGGCGGTGAGATTGATGAAGGCAGGATTCCAGAAGGTTTCCAAGGCCTCTTGGACAAAATGGGCGCTGTAAAACAAGCATCTGCAGGCGGTGTACTTATCATGTAACATTTCATTATTATTTTTTATTGTTTGTGCCATTGTTTCCATTACATAATATGGGTTTGTTGATTTTTTTTAAAAAGATTTTCCGTGTATTATGTTTAAATGTTTACTATTACAAGTTATGATATTGTTTTGTTTACAAATATTTGATATTAACTAATAAAATATGATTTACTCATTCACTGTTTTTTTTTTTTTTTTTTTTTTTGTTAAGAGGACACCTTTTTTTTTTTCCGTTTGAACCAACAGCAGAGGAGGATCTGTGTGAACACTACTACTCCTAAGAGGACACCTTAAGGTGGACAATTTGATTACAACTGGTAAAACTGCAGGATTAAGTCACAATGTGATATACTTACATCATAGGTACTAGAATACTAATATTGTATAATGTTATGTAAATATTTCTATGTTATGATTTTATAAAATATGAACTATAAGCACTATGTCAATATTGTTAATGTCAATGTCAATGTCATATTGTCAATTGTCTTACTCCCAAATCACAATCATAAATCATCATAATAATAATAATAATAGATGATATGAAATGCAATGTTATCAAAATAAACCCATGGACTAAACACATTTTTATTTTCAAATAAATTGTGAAACATTAAAAATATTAAATAATTTTAATAGTATACTATTGGTATATTTTTTCAAAACTATTGAATCCTTAAATTTTGCTATATATGTTTTTAGATACTTGGACTTGGACAATATCCATAATGCACTTATTAAATTTGATTTTACATTGTCAACTAGCGACATAAAATTTTTACATTTGATTAATTTGTTTTAAGTTCGGTTAAACAAAAATATTGAAGATGTATACTTAGTGAATGACCGAAAAAGCAAAGAGTTCCTACTAAGTCCGGTAATACTTATATATATGATTAACTATATATTATATTAGTGATTTGCAATATATATTTGTACAGACTCATGAAGAGGTCGTTACTGATTTATTTAGTTCAGATCCTAAGACGTACAAGCAGTTACCTTTAATGTTGTATCAAGTTGGCACAAAATTCAGAGGTGAGATTAGACCTAAGTTGGGCATCATCAGATCCAAAGAGTTTCTTATGAAAGATTTATATTCATTTGATAGAGATCAAACAAGTACTACATTTACTTACAACAAAGTTTGCCAAGCCTACGAAAAGATATTTAACCCGTAAGTGGTACGACATTTTAAGAAGTAAACCAAAACCAAAACTGCAGCGGTCTATGGGACCGGACCATACCACTTACGGGTTAAGCATATTGGTGTTAAATTCATAAGAGGTACAGAGGATATTATAAATAAAATTATGCAAAACATTAATATTATGAATTTGGTTTTAGTTGAAGGTGCTTCAGGAATCCCATGAATTTCATTATCCGGCCGAAGTTGGAGACGATACATTATTACAGTGTAAGAAATGTGGTTTTGGAATGAACAAAGAAATGTCACCAGAGTCTGTCCAGTGTCCTAAATGCTCTAGTTATGTTATATTATGTTACTCCGACATAATATTAATTGCATTTTACTGATAGAGATAACCACAGTTCTACATGATAATTGATAAGTAAAAACCATCATAAATAATTATAATAATATAATTTATAAGTTATATATTTAATATAAGTTATAACAATATGATATTGTATAGATTTTATTAAAGTATAATCCACGCTCCACGATGTAAAGTAGAACTTCAGACTTTGTAAATGAAAAACAGAAGCACACTACACGGTGTCACAGCTAGTATGATATTAAAATTTATAGTTGACATTTTTTTTCATAAAAATGTAGAAAACATGTGATTTACTTTTAATATTATCTTAATTTAGACGATGGATAAATTAGAAATTAGATATTTTAATATTTTAAATATTTGTTTTGACTATTAGGCAACCTCAGTGTCATTTTTTTTTCTTCAATGTGACAATTTAATAATTATATTTTCTTAGGTACCTACACTCTTTGTAATCATTTAAATTCTTGTATTACCAAAAATAATTTGAAACAAACAATTGCTTCTGGACCCACAAAACTTTTAATATCTAGCAGATATTCTATGATCCCAATCACATCTTATAATTTGAAAATCATTAAGCTAATAATTGTTATTAACATAATTTGTTGACTCCAGTTTCTTTAAGAAAGTTGTAGTAAATTTGTTTTGTGTAATTTAATTATTCTTTTCGCATTAATCTAAGACCACTCTGTCTGTGGTTGACGAGTTATGAACAATTTTATATCCATTCATTCTATTCAGAGGATGATGGAATCGATAACACATTAATTGTGATTCAAATAAAAGCTGTCTACACCTAAATTGGTAAATTGGTATTTTATTTTTTGAAGATATTTTAGATATTACCTCAAAAACAGGATGTACTATGCTTTGAATTCAATTATATCAATGATATATTATAGATGACATTTTCAAGTATTACTATTAAGAGATATTGGTTTTGAAATACTAACTTGTTTTTTTATTTTTGTAAATATTACCATTTTTGCCATATTTTGACAAATATAGAGCTTATGAATATACCTAATAGATGATTTATATCTAAATTTAAATTGGTATAAGTAGATATTATATGACTATATGAGTAAGAGTTTTAACAATTTTCAACATCAAAACAAGAAATTGAATTATTTGGTAGTCGTTTGAGCCAATAGGTAGATAAATTAATATTATGTGGTGTTGTTTTGGAATATGTTTTTTGTAACAATTTATTTTAACAATTAAAACATATCTGCTATTGATGGAAGTCTGGTAGAATTTATCCTGAATAATTATTAATGAGAAAATATAAAAATGATATATTTATTTTATCTATCTTAACATTTTACTATAAAATAAATAAATAAACAAAACAAATAAAAATATAATATAATATAATATAAATATATAAAAAAAAAGTATCTATATATATTAAAGAATAATAAAAAATGATGAAATATTTTTTCTATTTAAAAATATCCTTAAGGTGCCTTCGACCATATCACTACAGACGTCACATGTGACAGGAGGTGTTGAGATGCAGCTCGCACAATACCATCCATGGCCACAGTCCAACAGTATGCGCCTGGTCTGGTACATATTGTACATGACGCATACATCCAAGGCACTGACTTCTAGTTGGATCGAGTAATGAAGTATTTGGAATCCATTTACCTTTTAATAATAATTGTATATTTTAATTGTAAAAGAAAAAAACCTCAATTTACTGTATCATTATTAATATTTACCATCTCCTAGGTTAACGTGCATTATATGGATGGGCTATGTTATGGGAAATTCTACTTTGCAAACTCCTCATTTATCTAATCGAATCGCACACTCATCACAGCACCATACGTGACTGCAAGGCACCAAAATGTTGGCCGAATTTACTTGGCTCCAATTTTCAAGGCAAATGAAACATCTGTCTACAGGATCACCTTTAGAATAAAAAGTATAAGTGAGTTTTTATTTTTCAATTCGGTTTAAGAGGACGTTACACGGACATTTGTTGTCTCCGTCTTACAAGTGTGTAACATAGCAAATTGTAAGTGCAATAGAACACGTTTAGCTCCATTAGTTTAAAAATTAGATTAAATTGCCCTCTTCTAAAATTTATGGCTAAGTTTATTATATGGCATCTCGTAGGCTTTTTATTATATTTTAACTTTAAAGCAAGTTATGAGTATTTTAATATGAACATTAAATTTTAAATTTTAAAATTAAAAATAAATATTATTATTACAAAAAATAAATGTTTATAACGCGTTTTAAAATTAAAATATAATAAAAAGCCTATGAGATACCCTAGACAATAATCTTACCTTTAAAATGTATGAGATAAATTCACTCTAATTTTTAAACTAGTGGAGCTAAACATGATTTTCTGTGAGTGAAATTAGGTATGTTACGCACTTCTAAGACGGAGATAACAAATGTCAGTGTAACGTCCTCTTAAAGGAAAATTATTATAATAATAATAATACTAATAATAACTTGCCTTCGAATGTAGGGATATCTAAATCAACTGCCTGGTGAACTGGTTGAATATTTTGTTCTGAAACTAAATGTAAAGTTATTAATTTAATTTTTTCAGTATTATAACATTTAAAATCAATCTACCGTCAACAAGAGCATCATCTATGCCAAGCTCAACTATTTCATAGTCCTCTTCCTCCACTAACGTATCATCGATATCTGGCTGTTCAACTTTAATACAAATTAAATTGTAGAATAAGTGAATTTTGAAATTTGTTAGAATAATATACAATCTGTAATACAGTTACAATAAGCATATGAGCGTAGAAGAATAAATTACAAAACATTAGTACTTGGGTGGAGTACCGCCCAATAATGACACCCCAACATTTTATTTATAGAAATACTCTTAAGTATACTTTTGTTTTCTGGCAGATCATTTCGGTCTTCATTAATTGCTAAAAAGTCATATTTCGTTAAGACAATATATTATTTTATTTCTATATGCTTACCTTGAATCTGGATTGGCACCTCAATATTGTCTGAATTCCCTATAATATTTATATTTAAAGTATAGTAACTAGAGTATATAATGTATTTTTAACTTAAATGTATAGTTGTATATTACTGAGAAAACGGTGATCTTCAGTTAATCCAAGGTTACCACTTGGTTGTTCGTGCACATTTGGATGCCGGACCATTCCATGATTTTCTGGAACTGCTGCTGCCGTTGACAACCACGGCCCCTCCTAGGTCTACCAGCACCACAAATGTGAAATGGCGGCAATACAGGTGGCAGAGGCTGAAGTCCAACCACTGGTAGAGCTGTCCAGGAATGAAATCTTCAAGAAGGATTTCTATAATTCCATTTTATTGTCATTTAGTTTATACACCCCATTGAATTTATATGGTACCTACCATTAACTAAAGGGCCTATTTGCATATTTATATACCCTCTCACAGAATAAGATACTCTTCTTAAATATGCCATTGTGTCATAGCGGCCATAGCTTATGTTTCGGAGAGCATCAGCCAAAATGCAGTTATTTGTGTCTCTGCTAGACACAATAGATCTTCGTATAAATCCCTATTAATCAGTGGCAATTATGAAAGCAGGAGGGTTGTAACTGGTTTAAGTATAAATTAAACTAAGTTTTTAAAGTTAGGTATACAACATTTTCAAGATTTTTGACCGACCAAAAAATGTCGTATCGAAAATAGTTTAAAAAAATCTAATAAAACTCGTAATTTATAATCAAAAAGGTACTCTGCTACACAGTAGGTTACAAGTGGGTCACTGTATAAGACATATTATATACTTATCTATGGTATTAAAAAAATTGAACTATAATAGGTACCTATAATAAATTCCAAATTAATCATATCAGTATATCACAATATCCATTAGGTACTTATAACGCGTTATACATAAACAACAAACCCTGATACTATCATAGATATATAATAGCAGTTTCAAGTACCCACGAATAATATTATACAATCACAACAAAATAACTAAAATAGTTATTCTAGGTTTCTTATGGTTAGGTTAATTTGAACTTAAAATGAATATCAAAATAAACTGTGCTTCTGTATTTTTTAGACTTTTTGGTAACAGAATTAACTACTTACATGGAATCTTGTTTCAAATTTCAATCCTTAGATATAAAAGTTGAACATTTTATAAATTATTAACTACAAAATAATTATTCAATTTTAAATTTGATGAATTTGATCTTTAAATGCTTATAAAAAAAACTGTACCTATGTATTTTTAATATTTTTCAACTGCTATTGTAACAGTATGTCAGGTGTCCTTTTTAAAGAACTGAATGACCTTTCAGCACTTGCTGTTGTTATAGGTATGACACTGAGAATTGTTAAAAGACCTATACTAGTAGGTAGTATACTATTATTTACTGTATTTTTCATTTATATAATAATCGTAGTAACATAAAAAAATTGTCGATATAAAATTGACAGAGCCCCTGTGCCCCTCCCCCGCCACTGCTAACAATAGTCTAAAAAATCAAAGTTTTTTTGATTTACTGGTTAAATAACAGCCAAATATTACACGTACGTCACACCAGCCCCCCATTTTCAAAATATTGAAAATTTATTTTTCTATCTTTTATTATGCTTTTTGTACGAATTTGTAAGCATTGTTCCAGAATTTGTATGAACAAAGTGGCTCAGATATATCAAATACCTGCCGGGGGGGGGGGGGGGGGAGACGTCACTTGAGCCCCCGACATTGGTTATTTGGAATTTGTTTTCTACCAATACTTTGCACACTATTCATACGTATTTGTACGCGCAATATAAACATTCGTACGCTCTTCGTTCCAAAGGGATATCGATAAACCCGTCAGGGGGGTGGCGAGTCGTAACTTTGTTCATACAAATTCTGTAACAATGCTTAAAAATTCGAACAAAAAGCATACTAAAATATAGAATAATAAATTTTCAATATTTTGAAAATGGGGGGCTGGTGTGACGTACGTAAATATTACTTGGTGCTCTCGTATATTGTAGACGGTCGTCAAAATATTATTATGTAATATTTATGTATGGTACAGACAGGGTTGGGCAAGATACTCAAAAAAAAGTATCATGATACATGATACATGATACATACATTTTGTGTATCAAGATACAAGATACAAGATACATTGTGAATGTAGAAAAGATACAAGATACAAGATACATGTATCTTTGATACATCAAAGATACATGATACTTTTATATTTCCAATCAAATTTTATTAATTATTAAACGTAAAACGTCTATACACAATTCACTATACCGTCTATACATAATAAATACATAATATTATTATTATACCTACATAATAATAGTATTTATAAATACTTATAAAGTCATAATTATATCAAATAATATAATAAGTCAATAGGTACACTGTACACATTATAATATAATAAGTCAATAGGTACACATTATACATTTATAACTAATACATCACATTGCCCGTAAACGGGCAGTTGACACAGTGACACAGTAACACTACAGACGACAGAACGAATAGAATGGTACAACAACGTGAATAGTATTCTGTAATTGCTTATCTTTACTTTTGATTTTATTTTCTATTTTATGTGGAAATACCTAAACGGTTACACTCATATCTAGGCAGCGGATTCATATTTTATGAGACTATTGATTATTGACACGGTCTGCGTGTGGGCTACGGTCATACGGGCGCCTTAATTTAATTTTATGTTTATCAGATTATCTTAAATTTATAAGATTGTGTGGTACATTTTTTCGCTATCGTTAATATTTCGGCTGGATTGCACCTGGACAATATTTTTCGTACAAATACAATCCGCGACGAAATTATTTTTACAATAATAGTATCTTGTATCTTTTGGCAAAAAAAGATACATGATACTAGTATAAAATGTATCAAGATACATGATACTTGATACTGTAAAATTATGTATCATGATACAAGATACAAGATACAATTGTATCTTTGATACGTATCTTTGATACATGTATCTTTGATACTGCCCAACCCTGGTTGTTGGTGTATAACGCGTTATAAGTACCTACCTAATGGATATTGTGATATGATTAATTTTGAATTCATTATAGGTACCTATTATAGGTCATTTTTTTATTTAATACCATAGATATAATATGTCTTATACCTAGACTGACATACCGTCTCCGCTCAGAATCGTTTCTCTTATACAATGATATTATATCATTGAATTCAAATTTAATATCATCCATTATACAGTGACAGACTTGTAACTTACTGTACAGCAGAGTGACACCCACTTGCCCACCTTTTTAATTTTGACTTTGGTGCAATAGTAATATTATCATTAGATTTTATTTTTATGAACTTGGGTTGCATTTGTAATGCTTTCAGTTGTATAAATGTTTAAATTATTATTTCCATTATGTCTGTAGTACTCTGTACCCAGGGTTGGGCAGTATCAAAGATACATGTATCAAAGATACGTATCAAAGATACAATTGTATCTTGTATCTTGTATCATGATACATAATTTTACAGTATCAAGTATCATGTATCTTGATACATTTTATACTAGTATCATGTATCTTTTTTTGCCAAAAGATACAAGATACTATTATTGTAAAAATAATTTCGTCGCGGATTGTATTTGTACGAAAAATATTGTCCAGGTGCAATCCAGCCGAAATATTAACGATAGCGAAAAAATGTACCACACAATCTTATAAATTTAAGATAATCTGATAAACATAAAATTAAATTAAGGCGCCCGTATGACCGTAGCCCACACGCAGACCGTGTCAATAATCAATAGTCTCATAAAATATGAATCCGCTGCCTAGATATGAGTGTAACCGTTTAGGTATTTCCACATAAAATAGAAAATAAAATCAAAAGTAAAGATAAGCAATTACAGAATACTATTCACGTTGTTGTACCATTCTATTCGTTCTGTCGTCTGTAGTGTTACTGTGTCACTGTGTCAACTGCCCGTTTACGGGCAATGTGATGTATTAGTTATAAATGTATAATGTGTACCTATTGACTTATTATATTATAATGTGTACAGTGTACCTATTGACTTATTATATTATTTGATATAATTATGACTTTATAAGTATTTATAAATACTATTATTATGTAGGTATAATAATAATATTATGTATTTATTATGTATAGACGGTATAGTGAATTGTGTATAGACGTTTTACGTTTAATAATTAATAAAATTTGATTGGAAATATAAAAGTATCATGTATCTTTGATGTATCAAAGATACATGTATCTTGTATCTTGTATCTTTTCTACATTCACAATGTATCTTGTATCTTGTATCTTGATACACAAAATGTATGTATCATGTATCATGTATCATGATACTTTTTTTTGAGTATCTTGCCCAACCCTGCCAACAACAAACATTGATACTATCATAGATATATAGTAGTATACTTTAGAAGTCTCAAGTACCCACGAAAAATATTATACAATCACAACAAAATAACAAAAATATTTATTCTAGGTTTTTTAATATGTAATTTCGTCCAAATTTGAATTTAAAATGTCTGTAAAAAATAACTGTGTTCATATATTTTTTAGATTTTTTGTTTACAACTATTTATGAGAACTTTTGTTTTAAATTTGCAATCCTTATCTATAAAAACTGAACATTTTATAATTTATTAATTACAATGATTGAAAATTCGATCTTTAAATACTTATAAAAAAAAATTGTGCATTTGTATTTTAAATTTTTTTCAACTGATATTGTAAAAATATATCATGAGCCTTATATTAAATTTTTACACTTTTTGGCCCAAGAGATAAAACTTTATTCATATTTATAGAAAAAAAACTAAAAAAATTGAAAACTGAAAATGTCCGTAAACAGCTCAAAGAGAGTCAAAATATTTTCAAAATTGTTTGGTGTATAGGAAATGCTAATATAAATAGTCAGTGAAATTTTCATGTATCTACAGTTATTAGTTTTTGAATTACAACAAAATAAGGAAATCACTACATGAGAAATCGAGTGAATATCCAATGTTGTAAAAATTAGAATTTCAAACGCTCATAAAAATTTAATTTGACTTTTTTTTGATAAAGGTAGATAATTTTATAAGGAATCTTGTATCACATTTTAAAATCTTAGATTTAAAAAGAAAAATTTTTACGAATTCTTAACTCAAAATAATTTGCTAATTTTCGTGATTTTTCCATATTTTGTTAATTTTCGAACTTTGCTTCGAACTTTGCTTATGCTTATAAAAAAAAACTGTGACTAAGGATTTTTAAATTTTTCATCTGCTTTTGAAACAATATACTAGGAGCCTTCTATTAAATTTTCAAGCTCTTTTATCCAACAAATACATTTTTATTGATATTATTAGAAAAAAAACTAAAAAAAATGGAAAATGAAAATGTCCCTAAACAGTTCACAATAAATCAAAATATTTTGAAAATGTTATCGTGTATATAAAATG